ATATCTTTAGATGTTCTAAGTTGTGTGTTCCCAAGGTACTTGTGCGCCAGCCTACGTATGCTATATCCCTCAACTACTCAATGTTCTAAGTTATCAGTTTCCCAAGAAAGCCAAACATGCCTATATATATTTCTAAAATATGTTTATTTGCGCTCACATACCTTTACTCCTCACATTTACACAGAACAAGATCATTTGGGTATGCCTGTTCACTAATGTAGATATCTTTAGATGTTCTAAGTTGTGTGTTCCCAAGCTACTTAAACAAATATATTCCGAGTATCTGTAAGAATAATACTGACTATTTGCCAGATGCAGACATATTTGCAGCTATTTTTAGTTATATTTATATTGTTTCATGTGATTTTGATTCCGTGAGGCAGGCGAGGTTCAGCACCAATGGGTGATGCAGAAGGGGGACGACGCAACTGCCAGAGCAAGAGTGTCTTTCCTACACTGACGGCATGTCTTGCGCCAGCTGCTGAGAATTCAGCAACAAACAAATGCAATGTATATATTCTGTGCAGGGCTGCCATGAATACAGATATTACAAATATATATATATATGGATAGATAGGTATATTTTCATACAACCAGTATATGTATATATATGTATATAATTATGCTGTATATATTTATGGAGAGTTGGAGTGTGGAAGACAAATGTTCTAAGTTGTTGTTTCGCGTTGAGGTTAGTTGACCTCCAAGATATAAATATATGTATGTGTATATATATATATATTGAATAGTTCTCACGCGGGTCCTGCACATCTGAATTTAGGAGCCTTTTAGCTTCCACGTGCAGAACATGACCAAACAAAGACCAGAACAGAGCAAAGGGAAGAAAAAGCTGAGCGCAGCATGTGGAACATGAACTTAGAACATGTGGAGCATCATTTCGGGCAAAACTTAGAACATCCGATCATCACATTACATGAATTATCTTATTTTAAGGTCTGGATGTTCTAAGTTATGGTGTTTGATGATGTTCTAAGTTCCTATGTTAAACCGTCCAAACGCCGTTTTGATTTTTTTTGATGTTCTAAGTTTCACTGAAACGTTATATATATAATATATACATACGTTGTTATATATTTATAGCTCTATGTATTGTGTAAGTCCAAGGATAGGTCTGCTTGAGAGGACGGACCTGTCTTGAGACACCGAACTTTCTCTATTCTGCTTCGAGTCACCTGTCTACGCGAACGCTATCTGCCCAATTGGTGTCAGGTGAACGCCAAGGCAGCCCAAGTGGAAATCATCGTTCACAAGGCACAGGCGGAGGAGAACTTCCGGAGCCTCGCAGATTTCGCGGGTGAGGATCGGCTGGTGGCTTTTGAGAGTGGAGACACGAGGTTTTGGATGGCTGGATGGCTTTTGGTTTGGGAACATTGAGCACACCTGACGAGCCACCAAAGCATGTTCTTGCCCAAAGGGACGGGTGGCGTTGAGAACGACTGTGGAAGGGGTGTCCATGGCTTGGTGCATTAGACCAAACTAATTATGTACATATGCTAGTGGCGTGTTCCAAGGTTGTTTCATGCCACTGCCAATGGTTACTTGGTTGTTTTTTCTGCAACTAGGTTTCGCTAGTTATATTTTCTGAGGTTGTCAACCATAAGATGCTATATATTGATACATCGTGTATCGAGTTGTAAATTTGGTTTTCTCTCGCCATTCGTCTCGGATCGCATCAAGACGTTGATTTTTTGTAGAAGGTTTACACACCTGTATACATTGTATTACATCTCACGTACCCCTGGAATTAGAAGTCCGAGGACCTTTCTTGGCACCACCATCTAAAGACCATATATAGTAGTAATTTGCATGGACTTCCAGGGTATGGAAGCCATACTTATTCCTCTCGTGGGACCAACCACTTCACTGCCCCCAGCCACTCCAGTTGGTCAATTGGTTTCGTGGCGGAAGAGTCGCCCGGGTGGGCTAGTCGCCAGTGGTTTTTTGCTCTCAAGGAACATGATCGAAGGCAACTGGATCAAGAACATCCCTCCCGCTGGTACTCAGCACCTTGGACTGCTGGCATTTTGGATGTAACTACCAAAATAGGGAGACCCCCCAGTTCGACCCCCTTGGAAGAAGGAAAATCGATGACAACCTTCTTAAAACCCATGGGTTCTGGGGTCTCCCATATAAACACCAGAGCCATCCAAGACTAACTTTACAATTGCTGAGTTGGTTTCGTAGTATACAACGGTAAAATCCTTAGTATATATAAACAATGGTTGGAATCCCAATGAATACATACTCGCTTGGATTCGAAACGGCTCCATGCTCCACGGATAAGGCCATTTCACTGCGCATAGATGTCCTAGCCAATTTGGACGAAACCCCAAATCGGGCGCGACATGTGTCGTGTTCGTCTTCAAGTAGGTCATTCGAAGATGTTCCAAGATTTCGAAGCCTTCTTGACATTTCTTTGACCTTCTCTCCCTCAGGCAGGTCGAGTGCCTTCCGTCCCGTCCCGAAAGGTCCCAGCGGTCGTCCCGAAACGTTACAGCGGTCATCCCGAAACGCCTGGAAAGGAAGGATCTCATACAGAGACCACGCAGGCTGTACCTGAGACTTCTGGTCCTGAATGACGAACATGGACCCTCCAGTTGGTGTCTTTGAGGATGATTTGTTAGTGTCGCCAAAAATCAGCGATTCTGGTGATTTTTGCATGCTGGATGGTTGGAGTTTAGTAGACCAGATGAGACCGGCTGGTATAACACAACAAAGGCAAGCTACTTGTTTGAACGTGTTTGAACTCTAAGTTTGCCTTTATTTTTTTGGTGAGCTACATACAACACCTTTGGGTTTTGCTAGGCTATCACTCACAACCAGCTTCAGGTACATGGCGTTCATTGACTCTTACTCATTAGAGGTCCGACAAACACCGGCAAGCCGGGCACGTTTCTTCCGGCTCAGCTTTTTCTTGGCGACCGAGGCGCATGTTGAAGCACCTGCAGGACTCATGGATCGTGTGGCAAAGTATGGACATGGAGGCCTCCAATGCCTCACAGTACCACTTGATATGTCAGGGTTAGAAACTCATCAAGACTGGAGTCTGGAGGGACACCAGCCGGCAAGTCATGTACTATACATTGATCTACTTTTGATTTACTGCCTGGGTAAAAATGGTTCCGATAACCTTTTTTATGCTCGTTTATGGTGTAAAATAACAAATTGTATACATATATATAGATAATACAGCTAACAACATGAACATGTCGTATTTTGTGGAAGATGTCTTGGCAACTAGACCCACTCAGTGATGTGGTGATGTCACTCGAATTTGATATTATAGTTTTTTAATATCAAACAAATAGACTTAGAAAGAGCCATGTGTTTGGGTCAGTCTAGCCAGTGGCACTTGATTGCCTTGCTGGGTCATGTCTTAACATAACCACAATAACAAATGCGAGCTATACCGGAGACAAACATGCGTGCCATGAAAAAGGGTCATCCTTGTCCCATCCGCAGGTCACGGAGGTGGTCCAACTGGATGAAGTTTCTGCGGTGTTGATTGCGCGTGTCTTCCGCTCGAGCAAGGACATCCTGTTTGAGACTTGGATTTGCTCGAAACACATTCGCCCTTTGTTTTTCTTGGATCTCAACTTTCAACATCTGTTTGTCACGCAAGCGGATGCGGATGCGGATCCACACAGAACAAGTGGATCCCGCGTGGACCATGCAGTGTGTTGTTGCCGTGCTAGTCATGATCGGACTCAGGTTCTGCTTGGAACCCAATCTCGGGACTTTCGGGTGACCGGTGTTCCATTCAGGTCAATAGCTATACACCCCAACGGGACAGCTGCAGGTGTCACAGGTGGACTTGGTCATGATCAGCCACCCCGTGATGGCCATGACCCCGCAAGATGGCAAAGATGGTGCCAAAATTGGTCTTTGGAGAGTATCAGATGCCACGAAAGTTTTTTGCCTCAGCTACCTCACTTCACATTGTTGTTTAAGGGTTTAAGGATGTTTCGCCAAAATGGGTTGGCACGGACCTAGTTTGCTTTGTGGTCGCCTGGTAGACACAGTCAAAGCATCACCACAATCAAGCCAAGCTACACGACCAAAAGGAGTGATAAGTTGCAAAAAAATCCCGTACCACTGCCATGATCACTGCATATCACTACTGCGATCACCACCACCGCGGCCGCATGACCACCAGCACCAGCACCAGCAGCAGCACCGGCACCACCACCAGCACCAGCAGCACCATCACCACCACAAATCGGGGAATGTTGAGTCCTTCCTTCCATGCTCCTGCCATCACCCTCATCCGTCCGCCTTGTCGCGCTGTGCGAAAAGAACGGACCCGAGGAATTGGAGCATGCGATGATGCATGGCTTGGAGATGACCGAAAACATCTCCATGGTCATTCCAGGCGCTTCACGTCACGCGACGGAAAGACCTGGTATTATTAAGGGTACGTGGATGAAATTTACCTAGTTGTGGGTGCAGACAGGCTGATGTTGTTAGAAACCAATCGACACACAGGCTCCAACAAGCATGCTGGGATGCTATTTGGTCGTTGAGTCGTTAGATAAGACAACCATCCCAAACAGGGTCTCGCAAGCTCTCCAAACACAGGCATGTCTTGAATTGTCTTGATACAGGAAGAGTCACCTTGACCGAGGCCCCAAGGGTCGAAGAAATCATCAAAACCCCAAGGGTCATTTGGAGGTGCAGTTTTGCAGCCTGAGCTGTTTCAGACAGCATGCAGCATCACTTTCATGAGCGACCTGAGCCGAGGAAATCCCTGAAATGACCCACCCACGCAGGTCACGCCAGGAGCGACCGAAAGCGGGCGAGATGGGGCGAGCACTCTTCTTTGCCTTAGCCAAGTATCAAACTCAACGCCATCCGTAACAGGTTCGAACATTTCTGCAGCCCTTCCACGCAGGTCCTTTGATGAACATGGCCAGCAACCAAGCCGTGGCTGGGCGGAACTCAGCGTGAAGCAAGAAAGCACAGGTGAGTGAGGTGAAAGCGCTCAAAGGCGATGGATTTCCTCTTGATTTTAAGTTGATGTTCAATGATTTTCACATTTCCTCACGATTCCTCACCACTTCTCACCCACATCCACTCATAGCGAAGGGGTGTGAAGGGGGCATACAAGTGCTTCGAAACTGGCCTTATAGCTGTGGATCAAGACATATAACCCAACTTGCTGTGCAGTCGCTGGAATCCGGTCACGTCACCGTAAGTCCAGTCGGGCGTGCCGCTGAGCGAGGTCTTGGTCTCCAAGATTACCGAGTTGGCTTGTTCAATCAGTGGAGGTGGAAGCTCTTTGTTTGCATTCATCGGGTAGATCTGCCTGGTCCACTGGTTTGCAGATCTGCATTGTCGCAACGGCGCGGTAGAGCCATACATTCCTGGCATTGCGTCTACATGTCAGGCGTGTGTTTGAAGGAAGATCGTAGGATCGTTCAGCTGGTCCAGCCATGCTTGGGGGATGGTTAAGACACAGAGAGAGAGAGAGAGAGAGAGACTGAGAGATGCATGGCAGGGAGAGAGGGAGAGAGACGGCCTTTTTGCAAGTTGTTGAAACATTCTCAGGCAGTCTGACTCAGACTGAAATACAGTACTCTGAAGCTGCACCGACACGAGCGCAGTCGACCAGCCTGACTGACGTGGCGGCTTGACCGACCAACATGGCGTGCTAACATGGCGTGTTTGTCGAGGTAGAGAAAGAGAGTCACCACCACAACCAACCCCGGAGCCATGCCTCACTTGGCGCTGAGAATACTTCAAGCATCTTTAAGCTGGATTTCCATATAGTCAGATAGTCCAGATTAAAGAGACGTTCCAGGCAACGACCCCCAGGAAGGTTCGGAAAATATACCATGCAGTCTACACAGCCAGCCATACGTTTTCTCTTCGGAGGTTCGGTGTTTGTGTCTCGGGGGTCTAATGATGTCGCCGCCAGGGCAGCCATGAAATAATTGAGATTATTTTGGACCAGCATTCATTTAGCGTTTATAGCAGGATCGAATCAGGCGCATGCAAATGAAGTCCTGGACTTGGACAATGAGTATAGCATCAAAGTCCCCCGTCGTCAATGTACGCCTTCGGGTGCTGGGGGAGCACCAGACCACTTCGGGACAGCTGGCGGTTCGGGTGTCACAACTGCGGCCCCGCACCGAAAACGCCTCCGCTCGGCGAACCGGTCCAGCCGGTCCAGCGGATGGACGTTAGTCCCGGACGCCCTATGACTCGCGCGGGGACGAGTCCGTGCTGTGCTTTCGATCGAGGCATGTCCTTTGGCAGTGATCTGCCAGCAAGCGTGTCTTTGGGGGTACCCCCCCTAGTTGGTCTATTTCTAAGGCCTTCTGGGGGTAAGGACATTCTGATCCCCAAACAAATACTGATTCGTGCATTAGACTGAGTCACTAGCCTTCTGTTGCAGCTTTCATGGAACACCGTTCACATGCTATTTTGACCTGAATCTGGGGAACTGGAGAACCAATCTTGTAAGATCTCCCGATTTGCAGATGATGCGGTCAATTTTCCGGAGGCTGGTCCATTTTTGGAATGTGCTCGCTGTTGGCTGCGGTCGAGTCAGCCAGTTGCTCGTTTGGTTTCCTTCCCGAAATCCGTTGAAATATCGAGCGAAGAATCGTTTTCGAGAAAACGCAACTTGACTTGCCACATGTTGGGTTCTTTGGTGTCTTCCTCCCGCCAACATGAGCTCGGAGTGGGCGTTTTTGGTCCGTTTCCAGCCCTTTTTGACCGATGTCCTTCCAGATGCCCATTCTTCAGGCCAAGTGAATCAGAATTGGGACTTGCTGAACGCTTCACGTGCGCAACTCCTCCAGAATAAATTCATCATGCTCCAGGGCACCCAGGGGAATGACACCAGCGTGCCAAAGGCCCATTCGTCTCGGCAAGCGCGATCTGCTTCGATTCAACCCATGTCACAGGGGCCATTGAGAGCGGGTCTTTCTGGGGCCATGGAAGTGGGTTTGCATGGGTTTGGCTCCCCGTTTCGTTGCCCAAGGACTTGGGGCCATCCGCGGTCATGGCATGTGGGGAACTGGCACGAGGAGACCGGTTCCCAGTTGACCCCCCCGGTGTCGGTTGGTTCTCGCTACAGTGGTGGACTGGTCGGGTGAACATGGGTCACAACCCATCTCGCTTGCGCCTCCCAAGTCTGCCATCCACTCCAGCGAGGTTCCAAGGTTGTAATCATGTGCCTCATTTCTGTCGAATCTTTTATCATGCGTACATAGCATGTGCTCATGCACGAAGTCTGGACCCTCCGTTCAGGGGCCGCGGCCAGACCCGAAGCTATGGAGGAGTCGAACGTGGTTGAACATGGTCGAACCAACCCCTAAGTTCTGAGGGACCGGGAAAGGCCGACCGCTCAATCAAGCGGAGCGTTTGGGTGAAGATGACTTTCGCCGAAAGTTCTCCGTTATTCGGTTTGGCGGAAAGGTAGTGCACAGAAAGGGTTTGGCAGACACGTATACTAACATCGTGGAAGGCGTGGGACATTCGTAGAACCCAAGGCTATTCGTGGACAGTTCGTGGAATGGTGGGCCAGTAGGAGAACTGACTGCAACGAAATCCCAGAAACCTTCGCAGAACTTCGTGGACGGTATTTTTGATGCACTAACTTCACTTCGTAATTATAAGCGATTAATTTTTGCTGACCCCCTTTCTCCACCCATTTAGCCTTCAAAAAATGCCACCGCTTGAGGATTCTCTAGGGTTCCGTCGAAAGGTGTTTCTATCCATGAGTTCAGTGAATCCCCATGATGGAGATGTCTGCACAGCATTCCCACGCTAGTTGAGGCATGGTCAAGTTCAAGTTTGTTTGTTGATGTGTCAAGCAAGGGTCAGTTGAAAGGCCCAAAGAGGAATCAGAGTTGAACCATGCAATCTGACATTTTTTGCCTTACTCACGCCATCCACGTGTTCGTTGTGGCCCGATGTGGCCATAAGTCAAGGACATTTGACGAATATTTGACGCGGAGGATTCCCTGATTCGTTCGGCTGTTCCATTCTAGATTCTAGAGTCTTTTTCATTTGATGACTGAAAATCGGCAGACTTTGGGTGTTTATGAATTGTATAGGAACCAGGTTGAGTTCATGCATGTTGTGGAACTGATGGGGTTGGCTGCTCTCAATAATTCCGAACAACACCGCGACACCCGATCGCCCCTGGCTGGGTCGCCTGGTCTATTTTCCGGTCCTCGAACCCAGCAGGGTTGTCACGCCTGGGGGTCGGTCTACCTAAAACTGAGCTAGGCTACGCATCCATTTCTGGTGACCTGAAACAGTCACTGGAGGAATGTCCGGACGAGATGGGACGAGTTCAAATGCGAAGCGGTCGGGGGGGGAACCACCCACCGGCTGGGAGGCCACCAATGTTTGCTTGGTCCAGAAGATGCTTGGAAACGGGCCGATTCGTGCACGGAGTATGGAAAACCCAACGGGTACGGTACTGTTGTGTACATTTTTGAGTGGATGTGAGACTCCAGCTATAGGCTATAGGCTATAGATCAACAGATGTCAGGAACGTCTATTTGCCGTGCTTTGACAAAAGCAACACATTGTGTCATTGTGTTGTCATGTGTTTTCTCACTTTGGCCGTCAGCCGGATTGCCAGGATAGGCTTATGTGATGGCATAAATCTGTAGATGTTCGAGTTGTTTGAAAGTTAACGTTGATGGCGTTTATTCTTGCGGATTTCTCCAAGAATCCATGCCAGTACAGAATCAATCAACAGCTCTTTTGTATTACTCTTGAAGATTGCAGCCAGTGCTAGCAGTGAGCAGCCAAAAGAAACACTTTTGACCCATTAATGACCCATTTTTTTCAGATCCATGGCCAACCCCGCTCTTGAGGTATTTTGATGCTCCATTCCACGAAACCTGGGCTACTCTCCGTTGTGAACCAAGGGTTATGATGTCGTCTCAATCACCAGTGGCCAGTTTTTCCGCAAGGGATTTTGCTCAACGCTGTGATGTGAACACCGGTTTTTGAACTGAATTTGCCTCCTCAGCAGATTGAACCATCGCAGCTAACATTTTCTCACCAAACTCTGCGCCCTTCATGTCCACGTCTCCGCAATGGCGATCAAATATATATTATATACTAATATACACACCAAGTTCTTCAGTTCTTGAGAACGAATCAAAGTACCGTTGTTCGTCTTCCATTTCTCGACCAACAAAGAAGCAAGGGCCTGGCACCCCATATCTGCGCGGTTTGTCCTTCGACACCATATTAAACCATGAGATCCGATATTGTGTATTAACCGATCGATCACTAGTTTGCTTCATAATTCTCTCGGGCTTTGCTGGACCCTCATATGGACGGGTCTTGGATCTTAAATCCCTAGTTTTGATGGGAGTGGAGCCTCTGAACCACATACATCTGGTACAGAGACATGCATGTATACATATATAACCATACATATATTAATATATAATACATAGAGATATACATATACAATCATATACACACCTTTTGATCCTTTTTGTGTATCCACTTCTAGCAGTTTCCTCCAAGAGGTCTGCCCTGGGTCGGTGTTTCTAGGTCCTAGCTTTATTCTTGATTCTGTAGAGATCTGAACAATTGCAGCATCTTATCGTGACAGGCCCTTTGGCACTCCTAAGGATGAAGCGTGCCATGGACATGTACGATGAGCTGGATCAAGAAGCCCTGAGGGTCGCCTTCGGTGATTCTGATCGATTGGTGAATTTGGCCGCGTGGATGAAGATTTGCTCCTGCTGCAAGCAGTGCTGCAAGCAGAGCCCAGGAGATTTGGGTGTTCAGATGTGATTTTTGGTGGTGTTGAGCAGTATCCCATCCAACCATGGGTCCTGGTGTGTCGTTCTTTCATGCAAGGCTTTAAGCTGGTTTAACCATTTAACACATATGTTCTTCAGTGTGCGGCAAGCTGGGTCACGTAGAAGATTCTTGCATGAGGCTTCCAAGGAGATCAACTCATAGGAGGAAAACAACTTATATAGCATGTTTTGGTACAGGAGGGAGACTTGGTACAATGAGCAACTGCATCACTTTGGTTCAATTAGAGTAAAATGTTACGTTGTCCTACTTGTTTGTTCAGCATGAGAGTTAGCCTGGTAACGAGATGGGGCCCGATTTCTTGTGTTGATTGTTCTACTCGCTGTGAACGTCATAATCATAAGAACTTAAGAACACACAAATTCAATGAAATTCATGTATGCATGACGAATCGTATGAAAGTTACAAATAAGAATCTGAACAGGATAAGGCTCCCTCAAAGCGAAATCGAAGGGTAATCAAGTTTTTCAAGAACTGAATGCGATCCGCTCACATGTTGTTTGACTCAAATCCCAAGTCAACGAGACCGGTCGTGCAGTCAGATCATTGGAGTGGCCAGAGCAGATCTAGGTCACCATGGCGCCTCCAACTGTGGATGCCTTCGATGAGTTCCTTGAGCTGCAAACATTCACGCAACCAGGGCATGTGAGCGACGACCCGAGGTGGATGCCATATACGTGTTTGTTGTTGTTTTTGTTTTTCGCCCCTGTGAAGGGGATCTCTATTCACCACCTCCGTGTGTGTCCAAAGGGACCGTGAAGTGTTCCAGTTTTGACGGGAGAACACGTCTCTTCACACTCCAAGGGAACATGAAGTCTTCCCACTACTGGTAGCAAGAAGCTACAAGGTTGGAGGCCATCACTCTTAGGGTTGGAGTCGCTCCTAGGGCCTAGGGTTGGAGGCCATCGCTACTAGTAACAAGACTCCAAGGCAATGCAGAAAGACTCCGGTGCTTCTTTTTGTGGGACGACTCCAAGTCCCGTGGTTTAAGCCGTCATCGGAAGGAGTGTCATTTGCCCCACATTCGACTCGTGTTTGGTTTTTGGAAATGAACTGATTCAATTTGAATATACTCACACCATTTATGTAAGAGTTACTGTACTGAGACTTACACTGGGGTCATAAATGGGGTAAATGCATGCAACACTTCCATTTGGGATGGTTTGGGCTACCTCAGTGGCTCCTAAGAACTGCAATTCGGATGAAGACAAACGGTAATCTTCAACATTCAGGGCCCTCTTTAGGTTCGTGCCAGAGGGTGTTCAGTTGCAGTTGTTGTTGTGGTTGCAGTTGTTGTCGTGGTCGTTGTCATTGTTCTTGTTGTTGTTTCTTTTTTTTGTCTTATAAACAAAACACAACAACGTCTTCTTCTGTTTTTTTTTTATTCTTGTTTTATCTCTCAAGTTGCCCAAACAACTCCTCCAGCCGCGTGCTGCCTTCTTTTGTTGGCGGGATTCGCCCCAACAATTAGCCCAGACATACCATGCCATGCAGCCTCGTGGCTGCCCGGAGCTCGCCGCTCAGTATCGCACAATCGTTGAGCTCCACCTGCCAAAACGAAACCCTCGCCGACGAGGACTGGAGCCCGAGATCTCTCGGGCTCGGGTCGCGATGTCGAGAAGCGAAGCACCAAAAGCGACTGCAGTGTGTTTGCCAGAACCGCTTTTTTACAGCAAGGTTTGGGGTTCAGCTTTTTTACAGCAAGGTTTGGGGGGATGTCAGTGTTCTGTTATGTTCTGTTATGTTCTGTTTGATGTGCTTGGAGGATGGAAGCCTTGCGTCAGAAGAACACAACTTTCGTAGAGAAGTGGAGCGCATAGGCGCATAGGTCACGTCAACTGAGGGCCATGGGCTAGGGGCACGGTTCCAGCAGATAAATACGTTTTTAGGGGTGTAAATAGTACGGAGGTATCGGTCAATGAAGTCGCCTGGGCAAATAGAATTGTCTTCGTTGAAAACACAATTATTAGGCCATATGATGCATAGCTCCCACAGAGACCATGGAGCTCCGTTTGGGATGCCCTTTGGAACGTACTTAGAGGATCTTAGAGGTTGGGTGTGTCCCATTACCTGTGAGAGTCCATAAAGGATTATCACTATTTTCTTTTTTCAGAAAGGCCTTTAGTAACCATCATCATCTATATATTGTTACAGGGAATTGGATCTACGTATATAACTGTCCACCATGACCAGATTTCTGCACATTACCTGACCCTGCAAACTGCAAACATGAGTGTTTGCACATGTGCAGTGCGGTTGAGGAGTGGAGAGCGCTGCATGAAGAAATGGGGAAGTTGGCCATCTTGAGTGTCTGGGCTGCAAGAAGTTGGCGTCATTAATGGTCCAAACACCATGGCTGAGACTTGAAAAGCAATCTAATATATACTAATATATACATAATTATATGCAACTTGGCAACCCTGCCCCCACCAGTTTTGCCCAAAGAGTGCAACATTGATGTTTCCAGCAGGTAAATCATAAGTGAAAAGAAAGGGCATGGAGGACTCCAGAAAGTGTTTGACAGCAGATAATAGATTCATGGAATGCAGACTTGGAGTGCTCCTTAGATTGTTTGCTCCAAGTATTGTTTGATAGCAGAGAATAGATGAATGGAACGCAGACATGCATGCCCCAGCGATTGTTTGATAGCAAACAAAATGTAAAATGACATGCAAGTGGCTCAAGATTCAACACCAATTATCAATTGCCAGGCACAATCTCTTGCTGGCTCAAGCGATCTAGATCTATTTCAATTACTTCAGTCACAGGTTTCAATCTCACGCTGATGTATTGGCCTGGGCTTTCCTTTTCTTTTCTCGTGTTGTCCATTCAATAGCCAAAGGCATTTCCCGCGACCTAACACTGCTCTCTTGAACGATTTTCTACTTGCTTGCTGGACTAAATTTCCCCTGCTATTCATTGGCTACTCGTCCGTATAGATAAAGACAACTAGGGTGATGTATATCATGAGTAAAAGCAGGGGGATATGATATGACACGCAGACAAGGAGTGAACAAACCAAGAGGAGAAAAGACACATAAATACCTTTGACTACGTTTGCTAGAACTTACTATGAATTACGTTTGCTAGGTAAAGGTAGGGGCCAATCAATCCCATGCATTTGTTCCAATTACCTGCATTCTTGATTGACGCTTCCTTTAATCTAGGTGAGTCCCAGTAATTTTTAACATCATAATTGAACATAGGAGTTATAAGCAAGATGTAATCAAACGTGTTTGTTCCGAACAGGATGAAATGAGACTAGGAAGAGTTCGTTGCGGAACAAATCAACTACATCAGTTGTATCAGCAGGGGAGCTGAAAAAGAATTGGAACCGCTGTGTATATGTGTTTGCTGACCAATACGGCGCCCACACAGATACTAAATGCGCATGAATTATAGAGTAGAGGAGAGTTGGTTGTATTGGATTTGGGAATTCATGCTTTTCTGGAAAGAAACTCATGAGATTGCTAAACAAAACAGCACCCATACAACACTTCATGAGCATTAAATAGTCGAGTAGAGGTTTGTGTCTCAAATTAATCTTACTTCAACTTGGGAGTTCGTACTTTGTCAATAAATGATTATCTTATGACACATGGGCTGGACGGGAACTTTCTATATACGTGCTTAAAGTCGAGCTTAGATCATAGATGCAGGAATGTATGCATACAATACGCGTACATAGAGGCTTGCACCTTGGATCTATCTTGGATCTGTAAGATTTAATGTCCCAGTCAGTCAGAACCTTTGATCTTAGATCCAGGAATGTATGTGCACAATATTTGTACATTCCTGCTCCAACTTTGCAAGTTTATGTCATAAACGTATTGGATTTCTTTTTGCATGTATAATGTTCATACATGTTCGTTTATACATCTTCACCTGTGTCCCCTCAGGGGAGAAGAGGGAGCCCAAAACCTATCAAACACTAGTAGCACTGGCCTTAAACTTGGTACTTGGGCCTTGGACACGGCGCAACAAAAAGAAGCCTTTTCAGAAAAGGCGTCGGGGTCTGTTTTCTAAGCTGGAGTGTGTGTGTCGTTGTGACAAAGTGGAAGCAAACTTTGTGTTGGCAAGGTGGGACACCAAAGCAAAACGGTTAGTTTCGTTCGGCATCGAACCGGTGCGTGTTCCCGTCGGATTTTTGCAACCTTGAAGTGTTCTTGCTGACATGGTTTCACAGAAAATGGTTTCCGCCAAGCATTCGGCCGTTTGATGATCCAGGTATTCAATGTGAACAACACACACACTGTACATACAAGATCATGCAAGTGAGTTTTGATCATCAGGAGGGTATTGAAAGGGTTGTACCATTTTTTGCCTAGTATATATATATATATACTAGTATGTTACATTATTATGAAATGCTGTGGTAAAATGGATCAACATGTATCATATCATATGTATCATAATCATATGATATGCATCATGGTATTCAATCGACCATTGCAGATGTGTCCCACACATGAGTGCTCAAGTATATCTTGAGATTGTCACATCTACTTTATCTTGACATTAGCGCCATTCTGATCATGGTCATTGTTATCACCGTCTTTGTCGTCATCCTCGTTACTTTGTGTCATCTCCGCTTTTGGCCACCCTGTTGTTCTTTTTTTCTGCGAAGCATCGTGGCATCAGCATATCTTGACTCTCCGGTGGCGGGTTGATCCGTCCAGCTTGGCCAATCAGTGATGGTGCTATGACCTGCAATCGGAGGGGCTGATCTAGGGTCTCTTCAAGCTGGAACTAGTCTACCAGGCCCAGCCCTTTCAGTGGATGAAGGATGATCCCATTCTCAACCTGCAGAAGATGTCCCAGAGATTGAGAGACTATGCTGGCATACCAATTCCCATACAAAAACACACTCAGCACTTGGACTCGTTTTGGTGCACTGATACATGAAGAGATCTGATTAAAGGTCTTTAACGGCGCCGCTGGTCCATTCCTTCCAGCCGACTTCTCAGCCGACGTAGCCGACTTCAGGTCAAGCCATCCCAGCGGAATTTGTGTTGGTGCGTCAGGGACAGAGCTTCAACGAGAAGAAGTTGGATGCCACTGGGCCCAGAGAGGGCCTGGTGGATGGATTTTCAGGCCTGTGAATGATGAAAGACTAGAACCATCTCAAACCATTGCTTGGGGTCCTTATTAATTTATGTCAATATATATATATATATATCCTCAATACCCCGCTGGCAGCAACCAGGCAAAGGCACTTGACAGAAGTGCTCCCTCTCGATCACCCACCATTCTTCAGCTGCTCTCTAGGAACCCTCTAACAGAACCGTTTTGCGTTGTTCAACACTATAAACACACGTTGACGGATGTAGAGGTCATCCCAGAACATACTACAACAGGTGTAACAGACATGGAGCCTCTTGGTGCAGGTATGCCAAGACCCATCATCCCGACCGCACAGGAGAAACAGTCTGGGGCTGCTAGGGCTCCTAAAACTTTAGGTGGACACACCGCGGAATCCAGCCCGTCAAAATGGATACCCCCTCAATTTAAAGAGATTCGAACTATATAAATCACTTTGCATAAAAGGCTTTTGACATGTGATGCATATTAAAGTAGAAGCGTTTCGATCTAAAGTGAGGTGGCTGGCCTTTGATCCAATAGGCCCAATAGGCTAACTGGCCAACCCTTTTGCACATCACTAGACTCACTCAACGTTTAGCTTTGACTTACTGTAATCATTTAGTGCGTTTGAATTCATCCTCTCACTTTGTTTGTGTTGGCAATGTGTCCATTATGCCACGAGACTTCTTGTTGATGAAGGAAACAACGACCGGACATGATACTTCTTCACGGAAACAACGACCCGTTCGCACGGACAGCGGCGAACGAACAACAACCCGACGCCTTTGGGACGTGTTCTTCGGTCCCTGGGGCAGCACCAGCTTCAGTCCCTGGGGCTCCAACCACATCCTCAGAAGGTGGGGTCTAACTACCTTCTGAGGATGTGGTTGGAGCCCTAATACCCTGATTCTCGCTGGAAATAGCTATACATGTAGACCACAAGCCCAGTTTGGAAGCATATGAAGGCGGCCTCGGTTTGCTGGGCTGACGAAAAACCTGCAACCAGGTGAAAACACCATATGCAGAGCAGAAGATGTGAGCGGCCTTCCATCTTAAGTATTTGCTACAACCTAGAGAAGCGATGCCCCCACCCCTCCCCACCAGAACATGAAGGATGACCATTGTCCAAGTGTATGTGTTTGACAATTTGACATGTGTTTGCTCCATGTCTAGCTCTTTTGATCTGTTTCACCATGTTCTCATGACCTGGACATTTCTTTTACATGTATACGTATATAGACCCCCTGTCATAGATAGAACAGTAGATCCCCAATATATAAAATGGTATTGGAAACCGTGCCACAGAGGTCAAGACTTTGCAGCAGTCATCTCCTGTGGGATCAAAACTCGGGGTTTGAAGCGACACCCCAGCGATGCCCTCGATCATGCGCCAGCCCTCCACTTGCCCCGCTTGAGCATGGGGTGGCTTGCAACCAACAACATAGTGCAGTCAGCAACAGCTTGGTGAAGACTTTTAGCTCCTTGCAAAGCTCTTCTTAAGTCTTAAGTCACGTGCGCATTGTTGTTGCCTTCGACTCCAGTGAAGTTTTGTTGTTGTTATTATCTCGACTTCTGTTCTCATACACCTGTTTCGTTAAAATCTGCCCTTGGATGTTCTCCTCCAAGCTGAAGCCTAGAGTTGTCCAAGACCGTGGGAAGGAATGAGCCCCCCAATTGATGTGATGGCATGAGATGGTCCGTATGATTGTATGCAATTATTTGCCCAGAGGATCCATTATGTGCTTAGAGGATCCATGTACTGTATGATCTACATTCATCACCAAAAACCAGTAGGCCATATGGATCATGGATCATCACTGGGTGTTGTTGTCTGACAGAGAATCATATGGATCGATGGAAGGGATTGTGTTCAGTTTTTCCGTTCCTCCCCCCGCTACGACGGGTCTTCCAACGTCCCCCGAACCTCAACCGGAGACCCACGTGAGACGTGCGAGACGCTGGAGTTCGGTGCTTCGATTCGGTGACCGACGTGTCGGATTGCGCCCATGAAACCTTCGAGTTTGAACGTTGCACCCTCACCTACCGATGTGAGCTTTGGAACTGGGTGAGTACACCCAGCCAACCCCAATTCAAAGCAAAACCGCCGTGCCGACCGCGGCGACCGCGCCCTCTGCAGCCATCATCCCCCAACCTCACTGAGTCTTTGCTCGTGGAGCTGGAAACCGCCATCCGCCGCGTGATGTTCGGTTCATCACGACCACCCTTGGCTGCTCCACCCAAGCAGACGCCTCGGCAGCACGGTTCGATCGCGCGAAAAAGGGTCACACGTTCGATGCGAAGAAGAGCATGAGATGAGGCAAGGTTTGAAATCATTTGTCATGATTTTGAAAGGTTTGCAAGATGCGTGAGAAATTGATGTTCCATGTTTTTCCTTCCTTCGCTCGAGAGCAGGTTCACCAGGGCTCTTTAGTTGAGACACTGAACGTTTTGGCTTCTTGGTGAACCCCACAACTTTCTTATAGCTACGAACCATCGAAAGAACACTGGGTCGAGAGAGGGGGTAACGCGGTGTTTGGTGTATTTTGGCCGTCGAGAAAAATCTTTGGCGCTCTGGCGGGCAAGTACCCAGCACCCCTCGAAGCTCACCGAACTGCCAACGAAGCTCACCGAACTGCCAAAGGCATTTCAATCAGATGTTGCACATAAGCTTATAAGAAGGCAAACAACCAGAGCGACATTGTCTCATTCCCAAGTCCAGTCCCAGACTTGTTTGATACGAAGCCCCACACTTCGAGGCTTCGGTATTGGTGGGTCCTGGAACCGCCATGGTGGTTGGTGTATTTGGGGGTGTCCAACCGTGGTTTCTCGAGCGAGTTGCCGTCCTGCTTGGTCCTGTCCTTTGCGGCATGGTCCTCATCGACCGAGGAGCTATTTCGACTATATGCTCCAGACGTTGGAGCCCGCCACCAAAGCCTTGGCCAGCTCCAGTGCCTTGCCTAGTCAAGGATCGGATTGGCTCTAATGTAGGCTCTTGATTACAACATATGATATACAACAAAAACACACATTGTTTGAATTGTATAGAACCTTTTCAGAGATACAAACAGTCTATATAATAGGGTTCATGGAAGCATTATAATAACACTTCAAACCACCATACCAATTAATGAATACCGTTGTTTTCACGGCCTCTCAATTTGTTTGGAAGGGCGTGAGATCACCACCGGATTAGAAACCGCCCCACAGACGTGTCATACCTCCGACCCCCCGAACTACTTTAAGGGCTTTGAATGAACTCAGACGGCCCGGAGTTGCACAACGAAACGACAGCCCTTTTTAGCTCCGCGAGATGGAGCTAGGTCGTGGAACTGCGGTGCAACCGGTGCTTGATGCCGGGAATGCCTTGAAGCATTCTAGCCGCACTCTGCAGGAGCCGCAGTTCAGCAGAGGATTATCAGTCAGCAGTAACAAGGGGATTTTGGTCCTATTATGCCATGGCCCGCTATAGACAGCAGCCACATACGTAAGCATTCGCAGTGGAGGCACCAATTTTCTGTCTGGCCGTCCCATATTTATGGGTTGTGGGAAGTTTCATGTTCTTGGTAGTTCGTGCGTTTTCCTTTTCCCCAGTCGTTCTCCCCACTCGTGGGTGGGTAGCATTCGAGCGGCCACAGGGGTCTCTGGAAGCCAGGCTCGAGGTGAATCATGCCGAATCTGCTTCGGATGGACGCTCCTTTCCGCAGTCCTGGCCCGTCCAGTCAACGAGGAATTTCAGTCAACACCACCAAGATCAACCAAGTCATGGGAGGTCTTTCATGGCTTTTGGGATGAATTCTTTCGATCAAGGACGGTGTGGGACGACCCTGGAGGTTGAGTCCAGCGTATCTGGGAGGTAGGTTGACCCGAAGCTGTGAAACCCTGGTAGGTTGACCTCCTTAGTAGTCCATTCTGTGAATTCTCCGTGGGAAAAATCGGGTTCGCCGGGAACCTGACCCGCAGCCATATGTTGTATACATGTACAACATTGTACAACTAGAATTAGCAGCAGATCATCCCCGGTAACTGTAGACTGCTAATATATGCTAATATTCTGTTGATGAATAGCCCCCCCAGATGTAAAGCCATTCTGGAAGGGGATGTTTTTCATCAACAGTCTTAAAGTTCCGTTTTGGTCCATTTTGCCACTCCCGGGATGCGAGGATGTGCCACTCCCTTACTCCCTCAAGACGGCAGTTAATTAGTAGATATGTTTGTAGCGAGCCTGTCAATTGGCTTCTCCACGATCGCGCAGCCCCCATGGGGCTGCGGAATCGATGATCAAGACGTTTGACGGCCCCTGACTGAAGAAAACTGTTTTCGCTGTTCAAGGAGCAGTTCCTGAATGAGGTTCAAGACGCTACGTTGGCATCTCAGACTGGCGCTGTCAGACTGAAGACGGCATCGCTTGTCCTCAGTCATATTGAAGTTGCTGTACCCAGACAGTTCATGAGTCCATGTATGGCATAGACCAAACATTCACCCCACCCCAATGTATGTAAACATTGCATACACGGAGATACATGGAGTGTAGTATGGAGTGTATGGGGTAGTTGACGTTCCGGGTCACTGGAGACGGAGACGTCATAGTGGAAATATCCCCGTCGAAGAGCCGCCATTGCATGGTGAACACATATTGAACGAACCCTCGTGTTCATGGGGAGGTGGCAAGTGTTTATGGGGGTAAGCAGGAGTACCAGGTAAACATGATGTATGATGTGACCCTACTGACAGGCTGTGATTACTTCATTGTGAGCTTAGCGCGGCCCGCTATTTCTCGATGAGCCAGCAGGCCGCCCGGCGGGCCAAAAACCACCGCACCTACACAGCCGGCCGGCCGGCAGAGAAATAGCAGACCAGGTTGCCCGCGCTGCCGATTACTTTAATAATGTGTTAATAAACACACACACAAAACACTACACACACAATGAATAATTTCATATATATATATACTTATAGTCGTGGCAAAAGTACATGCATCTATATTTTTTATACTAACGGATTTTTTTGTTTGCTTACGCACCGTTTCCTTTTTGCGAGGGTGGGTTTAGGGAAGAGAGCCTAAACAAGTATCGAAGGAACTAAGTATGAACACTGCATGGAAAGTGAAGGGAACTTTACCTTCCCAGTTTCATGTCATTCTCACTCTCGTTCAGGAATGCAACAGCAATGTTTTTGCTCAAGAATGAAGATAAAGGGTTTACAAAACAATAAGACCCTAAAGGTCCAAAGACTCAGTAAAACCTGATCCTTTATTGAATTGTGTTCTTGTATGATCAACTCCAGTAGAATAAGGTCTGTGACAGTGACCTGTAGGGAGGGATGGTGAACTGGAAATGGCATAACATGGTGAGCTGGACTGTGTTATATATCCCAGATAAGGAGGTGAAGAGACGCATGGTTTGAACAATGTAAGGCAACAAAACATGATTAACACATCAACAATAAAGCAAACTGTACTATTGATGTAAGAAAAAATATGCCTAGATACTGTAAATGTATTGTACGAACACACTGTGGTTAGATAGTATAGATGTACATTCTACGTAAACAAGAGCGCACTCATTGCTCTTGCAAAATGTAGTTCCAAAGGTTCAGTCACATTGCACCAAGTGTTGTGTTCCCAGGGCATGGTGCAAGGCAGTGAGTCAGTGTCCTCATGAAAAGTGGAACTTGAGGATTTGACGAATCGCCAGCAATTCGGAAACCTCAAATTCCTCCTTGCTTAGCCTGGGCCTAGACCCCCTTTATATATATATATATATATTAGCTTCACAAACAACAGAGGTCAGTAAGCCCAATGGCCCCCACAGAGCAGCCGGCGGGCCTGCTACTGTATGTGTGCAGATGCATGATTTGGCGTTCACCAGCGATCCAGCCACTTGGCTGAGGTGGCCTGGACAGCGTGTTGACCTGGCGTTGCAGCAGATTGCCTTGGCCTATGAAGTCTTCAAGGCGACCGATGTTACAACTGGGATGTTTGGTTTGGTTTGTTTGGTTGCTCCAAGTTTATGTTGTTTCCACTTGCTCGTCGGTTTCGATTTTGATCTTGAGGGTCCATCCCGATTGATAGAGTGGAAAGGAAAGCAGTAACTGTTGATAGGAGCTACTACTAGCGTCCTTGGTTCCGTTTCGAGTCGCGATGCCCTTGGATTCCGTTGGTAGCGAGCGCCCTTGGTTCCGTTCGTCGTACGGCCAGAGGAGCGCCCCGGTCACGTGCCGTGTCACGTGTTTTAGCCGATCGCCTCCGGTTCGAGTCAGGACGGGCTCTTGGCTGTGCTGGACATGGCGGAGCACGACGTCACGGCGATGAATCGCTTTGAGGAGCCGGTGACGACCGCGGACGTCACGGCACAGTGCCGTCCCGGGGAGGGGAGGAAATTCACATTGTGATCATCCCTCTTTTGAAGCATTGGATGTTTGGGAACTTTAGTTTTTTTCTTTTTTCATCCCAGGTTATTGAGTTTAGTTGGATGTTTGGGAACTGTTTGGGGTGCCAGGAGGGTCTACCTACTTGGAGCTTTAAGGGAGTGGTTCAGCCTTCTTCAGCTTTTGGAGGGGTTGGTTGGCCTAGATGGACAATCTGGGATCTAAAGACCCTTGGAACAGATGCGCTTTGCCAAGGAGGGTTGAGATTCGAATGGGGCCAGGCCGGAAAACCCCTTTCATGGGATCAACAGCTATATTTATATGACTAATTATTTAAACCAATGAAACGCTTTGGTTGGGCCAGGTCGGCACCCAGCACCTCGGGCATTGGCATTGGGTGGTTTCACGAAGACAAAGGGCACCTGGCTTTCTTTTGATGGTGACATAGTCCCCTTTTCAAGGGAACCATGTTCTGGTGATTTGGGACCCGAACTGCAGTAAATAGACGAGAAGAGGATAGAAGAGGGGTAGGGGCCATGAGACCGTCGGCTTCCCTGGGCCTCCGGCGGCGGAGGGTCACGGTTTTCAGCCGTTTTCGAGGGTCAGACGGACGGTGAGCTGTTGGATTTGATCCGAAAAGACCGAGACACTTAAGAACACCGGCCACAAAAAGACTCCTTCACATCGCTGGATGGTTCTGCTTTTCCACCACTGAACATCGAGGGGTAAGAGACGGTGAGATGAGGGGGGAAATGGTATTGTCGCTGGTTGAGTCGTAGTTGCCGAATTAGACCGTTGTTGAGGAGTTTGCTTAATAGATCTTAATAGTGTTCATCATGTGAAGAATATCAATCCCTGGCTGAGCTACGGAGATTCCATGGGGTTCCATGAGGTTCCAAGGTTTTGGATCTACGGAACCATATTGTTCGTACCCACCTTCGTGCCAAAACGCCGGTTCCGCGAGCTTCAGCTGAAGGAAAACCCATAGACCATACTGACCATACACAAAAGACACACACACATACACAAAAACCTTGGATTCACCTTCAAGTTAGCCTCGCACACGTACGGCCCTTCTACAGTGCGCCCAGAAGAGTGGTGGTTCGGTCGACCGTTGGCCGACAAAAAGCCATGAAGCGGCGTAGTATGTTGAGTGCCTCAGGGCCCTGTTCATCGCGTAGTCAGAAACCATCTGAGTACATTACACTTCATTTGTTTTGGATATGCATCATTACTTCCATTCATCATCATTCCAGAACATTCTAGAATCCCTTACCTTTATGATCCTTGTGGGTGGTGGTGAGCATCTAGTATCGCTGTAAGACCGGCCTAGACCTCGCGCCGGCGGCCTCGCACCGCCCCGGGCCTGCGCCGGCCCACGTCTCATACCTCTCCGCCTGCAGAATCAGCACAACCAGCTGGCCGGATTGGCAATCCCTGCGCGTACGGAGAGCGGAGGGAGGAAGAGAGACAGAAGCGCATGGAGGCGTTGTGAGGCAGCCGAAAACTCTCAGACTCAATCCCGCACCCCCGGGGCCTACTGTTTTTCGTAGTAACTGGCAGGGATGCGGTTTGCATGAACCACTTTTGCACTTGTGCTGCAGCAAGTCCGTCGTTGGGTTCGATGGATCCAGCTGCTGACTTGTGAGAAGCTTCAAGAACGGAACACTTTCAGCTGTAAATACAGTCTGAGTCTGTTAGGAGATGTTAGGAGTTGGTCGGTCAGTTCCGACACCGCTTCTTTTGAAGCTTTCAAATTCCAACCGACCGAGAGGGTGTCTTTTTCGGTGGGTGTGAGATCCAACAAGGCACCATGTGGCCGTCCGAGTGAATCTCGCCTTCCTACAAGAATGGCAGGATCTCTTGATCTATGGTGTTGGTCTTTGGAAAACATCCTTTATTTAGAGTGGACCCACTACGTAGGGGAAGAAACATCAGCAAGAGTTCAAGTTCCCAAGGAAGTCGATCGAGTCTATTCTATTCGCATTCACTCAACATTCAACGCCCGCCACTTCTTCCAGTTCCGTGTCTCTCCATTTCTGTGTTTCATCCTTGTCTCACAGGACTTACAAGAACAGTGGGATCGTGTGGACGTCGAATGGAGGAACCTTCGCTCTTCCTTGACCTCGCCCGCCCCTTGGACGGCGAAGCAGCCAGCTGGCCACGAGGAGAGTGAAGGCGAATGGACATTGGCAAGTCCTCTTGCTTCTGTGACTAGGATACCCTTCGGTATCTCATTACTTGCACTGACATAGACCCCCAGATTGTATGATGATAAGAAGACTCATGAGGGGTACTGTACTTACAGGTTGCGTTCGCTCAGTCCGGATGCCGTCCGGTCTCGACATGAGTAGTGAGTGTGTGACTGCAAAGAGTGTAAAGAAAACAACTGTCAGGGTCCCCGAAGCCTTTGAGTGCAAGCCTTAGTGCTTGCTTGCTTAGGCCTGCCACACACTGCAGGAAACAAACCTTCGTTCGGCCACCACCCGACCACCACCCGGGGGCCCACCCGCTTCGGCCAACGCTTCGGCCACTTTGAGACGCGAACACCGAGGAGATCACCCGGACCGAGAGTGCCCTCTTCCGCTTGGTCGACCAGCTTGAAGCCGCGGTGCCCTTGTACAACCAGAAAGATATCCAGGAGGATGAGAAGTGTCTTGCCAGGATGGTGGCTCCACCAAGAACTGACCAGAAGGCTCCTGGAGAAACCGTGAATCATGTGACTCATCATGAATCATGTGCAAAGAGCAAGGGCCTCACATTCCGACAGGATCTCACTGTGAGGATCTCACTGGGGCCACCATTTTGGACTGAGAAAACTCGTCTCCTACCGAGTTCGGCCGATTCCGAGTGATTGGCGCATGTCACCTGGTTCTTCTTGGAGACCCGTTCGGGTGACTTCTTTCGAGATGTCAATGGTAACGATACTCTATGATCATTTGGGGATGGGTCAAAAGCTCCGCTTGACTTGACCTTCCAGGTAGTAGGTCATCCAAGGTATTCTGGTGCCGTGACCCACAGCCATCTATTTTCATCACAACGAAAGACTCCCCTAGAAAAGGCCAGAGCGAACTCAACGCCAATCGTACATGTTGGCGGCCCAGACATGTTGTCCAAGGAAAACGCGAGATTTCGACAAGACTAAAACAACATGCCAAAGTACCTGAAACATTTCTGCTGCAGTCAAATGACACAAAGGTGAAAGATGCCTATAGTTTCGTTCGCTAGACCAGCTACATCCACATAGGATTGCGTGATGATTTCAAGCCTCAAACACCGGCCCGTGGCACCAAAAGTGTTTCATGTCCTCTCACATGGTTTCACCCTGCAAGTCCCTATTTACTTGCCCACGCAGAAACTATAGTAGATATTAGATGATTGTTCTATATGATCATGTTTTTGTAATTAACTATTGATGATACAGTATATAAACCCACTGTATCTCTATATATATATATGGGTAATATATCAAGTAAGAAATCCCATAATATATAACTATATATATATATAGATATGATGTATGCAACCCGGGCAACCCGCACATCACTCAGCAAACAGTTCATGTTAAGGATACAAGCAGATGAGGGGCTTTGTTACTGTATCGTTGTACAGTTGTTTTCTCATTTCAATGAAACATCTTGAGAAAATTACTTGATGACCACCGGTCAATGCTCTATATATAGATTTGAAGGCCCATCCATATACTTTGGTTTCTTTTTCCAGATGATTGGAACTGGATGACGCAAGATTTCACATGTTGGTTCCATTGCACCACATCTGCAAGGTTCCCATGGGCAATTTGTGCTTTGGCAAAAAAACGAAGCGAGCTCGTTGGCTTTGAGAAGTTGATGTTGCAGAAGCCTCGACTAGTGCTCTGAATTGGAGGAGCCACAGAGCCTCACAAGGCACCAAGAACACACAGCAGTTTGGGGGACTCCGTTGACTTGAGGGGACTCATGTGTTAAAATCTGTGGTACGGTAGGTATTTTGATTGTCTTTGATTGAATGGCTTGACATGGGTTGACCTCCCTTTTTACGGCCAACGCAATACCCCTCAACCAGTTCAGGTTGACCACACAGTGACGCAAACTCATGTGTAGCTCATCGTTGTAATTTGTTTCAGCCGTTCAATAAGCAGCAATATACAATATAATATACGAATCATGAATCTTGGATTCGACCTTTGGAGCCAGAACAGAGTCCATAAGCTACTAGGAACAAGTGCCACGCTAATAGTAACAAGTGCCTTACTACTAGTAACAAGAAGCTTTTAGGTTCTTGTTTCTAATAGCTTCTTGTTACTACTAGTAAGGCACCTGTTACTACTAGCGTGGCACTTGTTACTAGTAACAACGAATCTTGGATTCGACCTTTGGAGCCAGTGTGTTTTCTGGAACCTCCAAGCTTGTTTGCCCTACAAACCTATGCAAAACCATCCTCCTCATTGCATCACTGGCTGATTTGCTGTTGTTCTGCAGCATCCTGGGATCTAAAGAGGTTCATCCATCCCGTTGAGGTGTTAGTGTTTGAAGATCTTTTTGTTGGAAGGAACATGCCTTCCAAGCGCAGTAAGTCGGCAGATGGCTTTCTCAGGATCATTCATGATCAATATTGGGTACCCAATAAATGGACGCCAAATAGTCAAAGCTTCCAATAAATTGACCCAATACATGGACTCCCAATATTGGGTACCCAATATATGATACATGTTCATAACCGCGGACTCCAAATAGTCGGGATTCGCTGGGAAGGGTCCGTGAAACCACCCAAGCCGTACCATGCGACAGCCCACCACTGGGAGCAGTAAGAACTGGCAGTTTTTTCGTGGAGTCCGAATGCAAAAACCAACTGAAGACTAAGAATGATCGAAGCGACAACCATTTGTTGTCGAACAAAAGCATGTGTTCACCCATGAAAATATGGCAGTGCGCATGGGTCAAAACAGGGGGACCCTGGCTGACCCCGCCAAATGAAAGGGGAGGTCAACCTACCAGATTTGACCCACCGCCATATGTAGGTCAGAGATGGTGAGAGAATACTGCCAGTGGAGTCCCACTTCAGGCATGCTTTTGTGAACAGTGGATGTGACGATAGTCCTACTCACCTGTGGGATTTCAAAGGGCATCATGACGCCTTGTCAAATGACTATTACAGTTAACTACCAAAAACAAAAGCCAGAGAGATCCAGAGAGCAAACAATGAAAGCGTAGCCTCGACAGAGGTTTTGCCCGTCACTCGTCTCCACCACAGCTCACATGACTTCACCACTTCGACAACTAATCAGCCAGCAGATCAGCCGCATCTTTTTTTTCTGTCGCACCGTCCGCCTCGCCTCGGAACTTTGAGGCATCTACGCGCTGATCGGCAGCTGCATCCTTTGCTGCTGTTGTGCCTTCGTGCTTCTTCCTTGCGTCCGCTCCAAGAATGGTGCGAAGAAAGATGACGCCAAGCATGATGAGCAGCCAGCCGCAGAGGTCGTGGAAGATATTTGAGACGCTTGAAGCGGCTGTTTGGCCTTGCGGCCTGATATGGCCTGATTGATCAGACTGGTAGATGTGAGCCCCCAATCAGCAGGACCCTTGGTCGGAGAGGTTTGATGTTGCTCTTTCGGAAAAGCTTTTTTTATCATCCCTTTTTTGATCTGAAGGCGCTAAGATTCAGATTAGTTCTTCCGTTGTGAATATTTCTCCTATCCCTATCGATTCGGCCTTTCGACAAGTAAATATATTTCCAGGAAAGTGACACAAGCTAGACACCTGCCAAGAATCAAATCTTTCGGAACAGTTGCGGTCAAACCAACCTGAAAGGCCTGGGCGGAAGACACCATTTGCACTTCTTGTTTGTTCTTCAGGAATTGCCAGATACCTGAAGAAAAGAAAGCTCACGTGAGTTTGGATCCTAAATATACCTAGAGCCCAACTGACCTCTGTTTTGATAGGAAAAGACAATATTTTGGATAGTTGATCCTCCAAAACAGGGGTCACTCAGGTTCTAGGTATATATACTTATATATATATATACAGTAGATAAATCTAAATATCCAAATTCTTGCAAAACTCTTGAAGACATCCAGAAGAACCCAGAGAGCAGAGGAGAACGTTGTTTTCTCCTGTCAGGTCTTCACTAGGGTCACTTCCCGACTTCCAAGTCGTTCAACAAGCCCATTGAAGGAACCTTTGTTTCAGCATTATGTGTTGCTTTCAGGCCAAATCTGTCTCATTCGCGAATCTGTTTGTTTCTCGGTCTGGCCGGACCAGTCAATGGGGTGTCTGGCAGTCTTCGCATTTAGCGACAGGTCAGCTACGTACTGACTCAAAAGAATGCGGTAACATAATCTACTCAGTTGCCCTCAGGCAACTATTCGCTTCCCCATATCTATTGGAAAAACCATTACTCAGTGTCACGGACCAGGATCTTGTGGACCGAACTTTGGGCAACGTCCCGTCTCATGACCGTCGACCGTGACGCCCGGTCTCCGACCGTGACCGAATCAACCAGGGGATCAAGTTCGCCTCGGTCACTGTGAAGGATCCGTTCATTCAAGTCTCGCGATGTTGAAATATAGCTTCATGTTAGGAGATGAAGGCTAGGATTCTATGGACGAGAGCTCCTGCTCCAGCTCCTGGCCTTGGAGAGAGTTCTCCACTGGCTGTTGAAAAGTCAGATAAAGGTTGCATTTGAGCCAATTTGCCCAGATAAACATGATATACGGCACTTAGCCAACATTCTTGGATGTTGCCAGCCGGCTACGTTTTTTGCGTTTGCGCCGGACACCCTGAGGGCATCAGTTTCTCGGAGCTCCGAGGCCCTGACTGAAGCACACCTCGAAGAGTTGTGCTTCTTCAGTAGAATTTCAATCGCCGGGAATTTCAGGTCCACAGGCCACATGTTGATCGTTGTGCCGCAAGTAAAACGAGATAACGTTTAAAGTTTAAAGCATTTGCAGGCCTATTGTCTTAAGAACCACCACAATATTTTGCTAAGAGATGCGAAATCGAACAACGTAGCTCGAAACGTAACTGAGTTGTGAACAGTTGGATGCATGGGCACACATACGCTTCGTGCCCATGTGTGTGCCTTGTTGGGCCCATATGTGGTAGGAAAGGTTTCCGTGGTTGATCCGGGGGATCCGTGCGTGCAGGCGGTGCGGGGTGCTTGTTTGATTTTTTTTTGAACTGACAACTGTCCTTTGTTGGATGTTGCTGTGAAAACAGGTGCAGTGAAACCTGGCTGCAGTTTTTTGTCCTTTCGGAATCACCAACCGAGGCTCGGCGATTCAGGTGATGGCAGTCTGACAGAAATGGGGAGTTGGATTTTGAACCACCGAGCTTGTCGTTGCTTCATGTCGTTGTTTCACGCATGCCACTGTGGCCGACCCACCATGCGCGTGGCCACGCATGGACCACTTTGACTTTGCACTTTTTTGGGGGGAGGATTTTGTGAGTGGCACTGGCAGGCGACTCTGTAAAGCTACCTGACTGGTATCACAGAGAAAAGAGGGATGAACAAACGCGACTGCTGCGTCGAAAAAGAGTGAACAGAGACTCGGACAATAAATAGATTCACTACCAGCACCCTCCAACAGGTCTCCTTTGGAGGGTTGTTAGGCCGTAAGAGGTCTCAATTGGTGACCTGCTGGAAGGTCCTGGTAGTTCCTGGTAGATCAGTTTTCACATGGAGACAGAGTTCTAAAGAGATCTTCAACTTATCATCGCTGTTGACTGCCTGAAAAAACTTAGCGCAGACAAAACATGGCCCTCAAAAAGTTGCTTGCCACAACTTTGGATGACATGGCAGATGTGACAAGAGTCAAAACACACAGTGACAACGCTCAAATCACCACGCAACAAGAATAGTTTGTGTAGACTCGTGATTTATAGAACCCCCCATGTGCAAAACCTCTTCATTTTGGGGGCGTTGGTTTCTAATTATATAATCAAGAGTCTGCAATTAGTGTCCAAGAGTGAAACATCGTCGACACACATCACAAACCCATGTCACAAAACACGCATCTTTGACGTTGTACTGACAAACCGCGAGAAGTATGGTGGGCGGACGAAGACAAGCACCATTTGGTGAAGAAAAGGACGGCACCGTTGATATAGCATATAATTATATATATGCAGTAAGTCTCAAAGAGTTGGGTCGGACCATCCGTTTCTTGGATCTCCTGCAGTTTTTCGGCCATTTCGGCCACGACCATTCTTTGGTTTCGTTCTTTTTCGCCCACCGAAACGTTCGACCCTGCACACCGGTCGTGTTTCCGGAGGAGTTGGGAGATAGACGAGTCGTGTCTTGAAAATGGGCACGATTTGCCAACATGTCTATCAACCAAGCAGTTTTTTTGTACTGTAGGAATGACAAACATTGCCAGTAGAAAGGCTTTTTTGTGATATTCACACCAGAGAAGCACAGAACCTTTGGAACCTTTCCCACAACACTCATGGGTTTGTTGGGTGTTTATGTTCATGCGAACCGGATAAAATTCCTCGTGCCGTGCCTGTGATACCTGGAACCGAGCAGTTCCACGGATGGCCAGACCGATGTTGCCTGGAGTCTCCCAAGAGAGAGGTTGTTGGCTTTCGCAGATGGTTTTGATGTTTGGACGCAGCTCAGCTGGGCTTCAACCTGTGCAAACCATCGTACTACGCGCCACGTGCTATGCCCGCTCAACGGTGGGTCAACCCCAAAGGAGGTTGAGCTTTGCCATTTCATACCACCAGATGGTTTGGAGTAGCTGCACTTCCTACCTTTCATAAGCACCAATGGCTATTGGAAGGGGATAGTAAGATGAGGATCCTCTTTTGAACAGGATGCTGTGCCATGTTCTGTGGAGTGTACGTAGCAGTTGATACATCCATGTTGGTGGATGCTTTGTGTTCCCCACGCAGGATGCTTTGTGAAGCTTGGTACCAAACTGTTGGCCAAGTCGGCGTAGAAGAAAGCCCACAAACTTGTTTTCCTGTTTAGGATGTTGTTTTTCTGTTTAGGATGTCCCAACCCGGGTGTGTCGCAGTGAACCAGTAAGAGTCGGTAAAATATCGTTTTGGAGAGAGGTTTGCCTGCAACCTACCTAACCATCATCATCCATGGTTATATGGTGATAGGCAATCTATATACATAATATATATATATACAGTATATAGTATACTGAACTCTCATGGGATCCAGGGTGACCCCAAGCGTGATCCTGGCACTTGACATCATCCACATGGTTTGTTTCAATAATATGAGTCATGAGTACCCAGACGCTTGCCCCATTTGCAGAACAGAGAAACAAACAAACAAACAAAGAAACAAACAAACCATTGTTGGGAGGTGCACATGTTGACAATTCCTGTACTGCACAACCTGTTTGCTGTTTGTTTTCAGGCTATGTGCTACTCATTTTGAGACTCATAAGTGTCATAAAAGAAACTTCAGACAAGACTCTTGGGTGGCTTCAGGTTTTTCAATACCCCGTCGCGAATCGGCGTAGTGAGGCTCAGAGTTTGAATCTATCTTGACTCCGCGCGATGCAAAAGGGTCATCCTAGAGCCCCCCCGAAAGAGGTTCATGCTTAGTGTTCGATTGAATTTATACGAAGAACAGAAAAAGAACAGTTCGAAATAGTCCTGAAGCTATGACGTGAGTTGGTTTGTTTTCCCACACATCAAGAACTGTGTTCTTGTGAACCAACATGCTCGGAAAATACTCTAAGCACAAAGGATGTACAATTGATTGTCATTGGTCCTTCGAGTTTGTTGGAATCTATGGAATCAAAAGGTTTCTGTGTTCTGGGACATACACTCGGCAGAACATTGCCAGATATGTTCAATCTTATTTTTCAGTTTCGAAAGCTGTGAACCTGATGCTTGTTGACGTTGTCTCCGACTTTTTTTGGAGCATTGTTTGTTTGGTTTTGAATGTAGATATGCATACTCACCAAACTCTCCTATAGCTATATATATATATTATATACTCATACAAATCCCAAGTCCCATCACGGAAATACGGTCATCGATTTGGACTTCCCCACTCTCGGTTGTTTTCGACATACTGGGTACAAATACTGGGCCACTGGAGCTGGAAGGGCTCATACTTCCTGTACTACTCCGCTCAGATTAAGGAACCTCAAAACCATCCAAAATCCCAAACGGTTGTAGAAGAACATCATCTTCCAACGATCCATTTTCAGGTTAGATGTTCTTCTCTGGTGTGAGATTTGGACGAAGCGAAGTGTTGGACGGGAAGCGCGGAAGTGGTGACCCCAACGAAGTAGCGTGGGCTGGTGACCCTGGTGCTTGGACCATCAAAGGCAATGGAGTACCCCAGAGTGCCTGCTTCCAGTGGAGCAAAACGCCATATGACCATAATTAGTTCACGTGAATGAGTGTGTTCACTAAGCAATTAATATGGTGAACATTAACATTCACTAAGCAATTAAGTGTTTTCACTTTCCAAGTGAATGAGTGTGAGAGCTATCACCTGGACCGAACTGCCATCCAATTCGAGAGCACTTGCTTGTTGATCTGGCGTTATGATAACCATGGATGACCCGATCGCATCAGTTCTAGAAATCCAATATATTCCTAGAATAGGTCGCTCCCACCGAACGAGAGGTCGTCGTCGGATGCTGCAGGAGCAGCTTGACCAGAAGTTGGTCAATGTATGTCCCTTGCAAAGGCTCGGCTTCCAAGACAGTTAGCTGTCAGCGCTGGGCCATCGAGATAACTTCATGTTCTGTTCTGCATTCCGCATATTCCACGGAAGTTCTGGAGTCTGGCTTAAGTGTGGGCACATCATCGCGGTTGCACCAAGTTCGACTCTTCACCACCTGAGTTGTAAACAACGAACGAACATCTTTTCGCAACAACGACAAGTTAGGTTGGATTTTGTCATTCATGTCTTTGCTCAAAATATCCCATATAATATCCCATATATAATTGTAGATCAATCTATGCGAAGGGTTCAGGGTTCTGCTCATTTCCGTGCTGAATTACAGCTTCCATGCTTTATCTCCAAGAAGGTTCGGAGTTCGGCTTTCCCAGCAAAATTCAGAAAAGCTTCATTTGTGCAGTTGTGATACATTAGTGCAGAGTGGCAGATGGCAAACCAGGAGGTGTATCCTTCATGAAGATTTTCTTGTTCATTGGGTCTTCGGTTAAAATATATATGTTAAATGTTGGCGCAGTCCAGGGCCCCGGGTTTTTGTTTGCCTCTTTTACGCCAATAGAACCATCTTCTACGTAACCCTCCCACACCGCCCTTACTTAATTGAAAGGGTGCAGCTTTCTTCAAAGAGGTGTAATTGGTCAAGGATTCACAGATAGAAGAAGTTGCCAACAGCTTCACCATCGTGTTCGTGTGTGTTTGATTCAGAGAGGGTGCCTCTCTAGAGCCAGGCCCAGAAGATCGTTTTGAAGCAATCCGAGCTTTGCAACATCTGGCTGCGAGTCTAAACCCTGGTAGGTTGACCTCTCCAGTCGTCAAGATATCAGCCATCTCATGGTATGTTTATGGCTCAGATCTATCAGCCCTATCAGCTCCTTTGCACTCCTTCGAAGGTATGATTTTGGAAACAGACTTAGGAAACAGAGAGCCCGGAGTTCCAGCACCTCGTGTCAGACTATGTCCATGATGAAGTTCCTGTTTCTGCTATTCTATTGGGCGACGATGTGTCTCCTCGTTAGATTCAGCGAGGGAAAGGTACAGAAAGGATCAGAAAGGTACCACTCTTCATCTACTTTGTAGTCGTTCATGCCAAGTCAACTTGTTTAGGGGGGCATGTGTTTTTGTGTCCCCTCCCAAATTTCATTGTCCCTTGAAGCTTCAAGCAGCTTAGCCAACTTCCATGACTTATATTTATGGCTGTCCCCAGAGGAGTTTCAATATAATGGTGATGTAGGAAAACTGCCTTGCTTTAGCTTACATTTATCAACAAACAATGATAGCAGCTAGCTCCGAATGAGAAAACCTGTTTTCCGGGCTCAGAAAAGGACGCTATCCACCAAACCTTCCTACAATCATAATCGAGTTCACTGATGTCAACGGGCTCTATTTTCAGGTCACTGCAGCCCACAGGACAGGCACACATCAATACTCTGACATAACTCGTGTTGTGCTGAACAAAAGACCATAAAAGATCAAGATCTCAGATGTTGTGATCATGCGGATTGTTTTGAAGCAAAACGCTTAACCAGTGGACTGAAGTTTGAAGGAGGCTGCGTGGTCGTTGCCATGGACCAGTGACCAGCCCAGGAGCAGCCCATGAATGGTGCTCCGCTTTTTTTCTTTCTGCCCACTTGCGATCCTCTATCTCAACCATAAGGATTTCAAAGATTTCAAAAGCAAGGTAAGAGCGACGGAGCCAATCATCGTCGTATGATCATGATGGACGTGGGGAGAATCCACGAAACCTGTATCACATCAAAGAAACATGCAAGAACAATATGGACTGAATTGAAGATACATGACGATACCATAGGATACCCCCAAACACTGTGAAGCGAGCTTGCCATGGTGATCGTTAGCTGACTTGCTTCCTCAGTGTATTGAGATCTTTTGACCTGTCGATGCATGACCTCTCCTCAGGACGGGTTCAGAAGATGAGGATCCAGGGCCAAGCTTTGAAATTACCCCCCAAGAAACAGCCACCACGTGCAGCAAATCCCAGCAAATCCGAGAACACTTTGGACCTAGCCTAGCTATTGGGGGCGAGACTGCTTGCAGCGAGCGATTGGATCGTCCGAACACGACTGCCGGAGTGGTGGGGGATCACCCCGTCGGGGACGGTCTCCGAATCGCCGGTTCGGCCATCGAGCTATTCGGGGCGTTGAGCCTCTCCAAGAGGTCACCAGATGGTTTTGATGCAAGGGCAAGGTTTGCTTGGAGTCTATAGATGGTTTGTTTAGTCTATTGGGTGCACTTTTTGCGGGAACAGAGACGCATGAAGTCCCTGAAGCCAGGTCAGCAACCCCAAAGAAGCAGGCCTCAAGTCGCAGCCTGTGTTCTTTTCATGTGGCTTTTTCCATCATTCTTCCTAAACTGGTGCAACCACCCTGCCACGATCCACGGCTGCCTGCCTGCAGTAACTCGTTTTTTGTTTTTTAAATACACAGTTTGACTCCCTTGACTTGGTACGCTTGAGTCGGTGCACCAATCTCATTGGGCACCTCGGAGTTGCACAGCAGGCTGTGCCACACCAGTCTGTCACAGGAAAGCGTTTGACAGGTTGACAGGGTACGTGTCAGGTGTAGCGCCCAAGATTCTTCTCGGCTCACATCCTGCAGACATTGCGTCTAGAGCTAGAGCCAACTCACATGCTTTGAAGTGATTTACATAGCAGTGATATCCGGTATCCCTTTCATTGGACGGTTTAGCCGTTTGGTAGGTCCACTCTCATGCTGACTTTGGTGTGCTAGCTGGGATTCCAGCAACGGTGGCTGGTTTTGGGGTGTTTGGTCGTGCAATTTTAACGGTCTTTGCGTACAGAGCCTTTGTGCCGTCCACGTACGCACCACCGGGATAGACGGTCAATTTGTACAGCTTGCATGTGCCCGTCGACAACGGGGGTCCACCCACAACCATCGGTGTTGGTGTTGGTAACCAGCCTTTGGAGAACATGGTAACCTGGTAATCTTTAATTTCGTCGACATTCTTTGGATTTGTCCCCGATCGTTGGCACCCCGGCGAAGCCTTCTAGAGAGATGTGTCGTTTCTTTTTGTTGATGTTCGTACTTGATTGTGGTGACCAATTCTGTTGACGGGTGTGCAACATCCGATTTACAACTTTCGACATGCAAAGGCCTTCACTTTCGGGTTGATTGAGTCTGGTGGATGAGACTTGCTTTAGAATCTTTTGAACATAACACAACCCATGCACCATGTCGCTGTCAGGGAAGACACGAGGCCTCATGTGCTTGGTCAGTATGTTTCTTCTACAGTGGAAGGAAGACACTTGGACTGGCACTATAGACTATAATTGGTATTCTATTTATATGTGGTGTTGGAATTCGTCCCTCAACCTTAGCACCATGCACCTGGTGCTCCCTCAACAGGAGTACTTGTATATTGGTGAATGTAGTGTACTACTGTACATTTCCTCAACAGCAGTGTATAGAAGAGTGTGTGTGTGTGAGTGTAAACAGTGAGGCATTTGCAGAAGAATGTGTATTACATTTGAGCTTGTTCCTTGCAGGTCAGTGGGTGGCCTTCCAGGTTATGGGGCCAAAACTGTTTCAATGAACTTGCTCAGTTCCTCAAATTGCTCAGAGCTGTTCATTCATAATGAATCTTCAGGCGTTCAAGAGGCCGTGGGCCAAAGCTTTGTGATCAAGCAATAAGCTTGATTATCTCAGTTTTGTCACAACTACATTTCAACAATCGGCAGGATTGCCAATACCATCGTGCCTTGTCTGAATCGAAATGGTGCGATGTTTGAATTCGTTGGTTCCCAGGGCGAGTCAGTTGATTTGGGTCCATCGACTCTGAAAGTTGAAACACCATGAAACAAAACATTGAACAATTTCATGATTGATGTACAAGTTAATCTACACGGGGGTAACTTTGTGCCCAAACTAGGTGTTTGGATGGTTTGGGGGTTCACTTTGGTTTTTCACGACCTTGAACCCACACTTCGACAAGCCAGTCACCTCTTTCAGGTGGCAAGAGGCTTCAGAACAGTCGTTGACTCATGACCATCTTGTGCGCAGCCGTTTCAAGTTTCAAGCTTCTGTTTCAAGCTTCCCTCATTTGCTTCAGTTTGGGCAGCCATGATCTCTTTCAGCATGAGGAAGTGGATGGTCCTCGTCGTCCTCCTAATTCTTCCAGCCGATGCGGACTGGCGGAACACGGTAAATAAGGCTGGCGAGCAGATGATCTTGTCGGAAAAGATGACCAAGGACCTGGGAGGATCTGTACTTGCAGAAGTGAGGGCTGGATAGAAGTATCAACAGAGGTTAAGTGACCTTCTAGGAACCTACTGGGGTATCTATAGGACACTCTATAGGGTTCTTCAACCTCTTTTGGTATGAATGGCAATCCAAAACCACCGTTCAGTAGAGGGCAGCTGATAGACTACCATGCAGTCAGGCACGCGGTGCCTCAAGAAAAAGCGGCGTCCGGTCTTCGAGAAGAACCGGCGGCCTCGACAGGAGTTTTGCCTCATTGCCGCGGGGAAGAACGTTGAGGCAAACAAACAGCTCTTGCTTGTGGCCTGGCAGCACGTAGTGGCAACACGGCCTCAAGGTACTTGTGGCGTGACTATACGGTATACAGTATACACATGGAAGGTGATTGCACTTTTTCCACTAGCTGTAGCCGTAACTGGGTGACACCATTGTTTCTGGGGGGCAACGGATTCGCAAAACTTGATTGTGTGTCACCCAAACCAGTGGGTGTAGTTCGTTGGAATGGAGCCAAGCCACCCTTTTGTTCCTGTCCGACCTGTGACTTGTTGCTTCGTGCGCTGAGTCACGCATGAGACTGGAAACAAGAAGAGACCTCACAACAGGAATTGTTCAAGGTCCAACAGTTGAAAGTCCGGCAGAAAGGAGTCCGCTTCGGCTCCCGGTGGAGCCCAACTTCTGCGGGAGTTTAGACATGTGAACCACACATGTTTGATTGATTTGGAGATGTTGTCCTGTTTCAGAAAAAGAAAGAACATAACAATACACTAACAGCAATACATATATTTAACAGAATTACATATAAAACAAACAAAATTGCTTTCATATATAACAAGTTTCAATCGGGGGCGGGATGATTCCATATGAAGATGGTCAAAGGTTATCTTATGCCTTGACCGGACAAACTTGTCGTATTTGGGCGGCTACGCTGTTTCTTCGGGGCTGTTCATATCACCGATCTTCTCATGTGGTGGGCTGGATTTGTCAGCATTCGCAAATGCACAAATAAAAATATAACCAACCGTGACCTCCCAAAAACAATTCTGGATTGCTCTCAGATGGGAAACTAAACTGAAAAACTTGAAAGGGAGTCCTTCCCTCTCTGGTGTTTCTGGAGATCAGCCTACTTCATATTTATTAATTCTGAACCCCTGGACCCTGGACCGGCGCAAAGAATGCAGTTTTGCGAGATTTGTCATGATTTGTACCCAACATTAAAACACATTAAACCCTTAAGGGGTGTGCTCCCAAACAGTTGTGGGGATTCCAATAGTTCTTGACTTGTTGTGATGTTGTTTCGCCCACCTTCTCAAATACAACAAAACACAACATGTACTTGTTGATCCCAGCGCTCATTCACAGATGGCAAAACCAAACACCTCGCCACGTTTCGGTTTTGGGAGCAATCATCAAGTCAGACTTTTACAGCAGGTTTGAATAAGCCAAGGCTTTCACACATGATTGCAATTCTCCAAAGTCCAAAGTGTGAACTTTTGTTTATTTCTATTTCCACCTTTCTTGGTTTCTACGAACCCCTACTGCATTTTTACGTTGAGTGAGCAGTCGCTGGGCACCCAGAATTGATTGGTATGAATTGTTTTTTGGTATGGACTCGGAATCGTGTGCCCTGTCACAAGATTGATCCCTGTGTTCAACACGCAAAATACCTGCAATTCTGAGCAACTTGCTTGGCAATCTAATTTCATGGCTGGCTTGGTGGAAGTCCAGACTCCAGACTTGGTGGACATGTTAAAAGAAGAAGACACTCCTTGAGTCGCAAAGGGGTGCCAAATCACTTTGTTGTTGTCCTTTCTGAACAACAAAAAGGTTGATGGTTGGCCACGATCGACACAAACACCGAGGCCACGATCGACACCTTCCAAAATATTTTGAATGCAATGCTCGATGGTGATGAATCTCAAGGCATTGTGGAGTGCAACACTCCAGATGTCCTTGGGGCACTCAATGACATTGTCGCTGCATGGACTCCCTACAAGGCGGGCAGCCAAAGACGTGGCCAGCGGATTGCAGCACGCGGGTGAACAGAACTCTAGGACTCTAGCTCCTCCCATAGGGTCCAGGTACTTCCTTTTCGGATGATCTTGGAGGTGCCAGACAATGGTCGTTCTGGGGCCAAAGGATAACTTGAGGATTCTTGAGGGTGGTCCTGGACCCTGAGGGCCTGTATCGAATCAAAGCCTAACATGTGAAACAACTTGGCCATTTTGTCCTGTAGAAGTCCCATGCAGAGGCGCCGCAAGTGGCTTTTGGCAGTTTCAGTTCCCATACTCGCAACAGTGTTCCGGAGCTTCGGGTCTGGCATGCCCCAACTGTCAGACGCTTTTTGGATGGTTTGGTAGAAGAAATGGATCCTTTGTAGGTCCGAGGCGGGTTTCAGGTTTCCTGCTACCTTTACAAATCCTCAATCATACTTGTGCAAAAGGCTCCTGTCAAGCTTCTTCATCCACTGTTACACTGCAACAGTGAATCGAATTTGCCGAATGTTCCTGTTCTTGAGTCTCCCTCTTCCATCCTGCCTTCAGGTCGGTCCCCGTGACGGAGCCTTCCGGTTTGTAAGGTCGGTCCCGAGGAGACGCAGCGAGTGAGGTGTTTCCTCGATGTGTTTCCGGGATGTGGGTAGTTCGCACCGTGTTCGCCCGGCAGGTTCCCGGTTTCAGCGAACGATCATGTCTGGTAGTCCATTCTGTTCCTGTCCACCTCTCCCAGTGCCAGCTCCCCAGATGGACCCATAGCCGGCTCCATGACCCATCGTCCGTTCGGACGCGCGTGAGGCTGTTTTGCTGGAGAACCTGAACACAGCCGCTGAGCATACAACTGAACTTTGATCTGCAGGTAACAGTGGCAAATGTACTTTCCCCACATTCAAGGGTGTCCATTTGGCCGGACAGCCTTCCAAAGACCGATGAGTTTTGACCGGATCCGACTCAACCTGAGAGTGACCAACTGGGTTCAACACAAACCAGCCAAGCAAGGAAGCTTTCATTGCTGGCTTTGCTGGCTTTGAAATGTCCAGTCCACGCGCCAGATTTGGGGCAAGGCTGACGCCAAGAATGAAGACGTTTGAGATAAGACTTTGTGCCTACAAAGTCTCTGACACGGCCCAGTTGGTCATTCTAAAAAGAGAAGATGTATATGTTTCAATGATTTTGAATATATTTGGAGGGATCCCTGAATTTGAGACCACGTCCACAAAATCGGTCTTTGGAAGCGCAATCTGGGCTCTCTTTGTGTATCCCCGGGTTTGGTCGGAAACCACGACTGCCTGCGCCCAGATTCGCCGAGCCGATGGCTCCACAGACATGGAAGTGCTCCAGGAAGTCTCGCAACGAGCTCTACCAGCGCCTTGACATCCGAAGTCCTGTGACATCGAAGTACGACCGATGCGGGATCCCCGATCTCGTCAGGCCAGCACCGGGATCTCCACAAAAACTCGTTTGTGTAGAAACAAGGTCTCCAATCGAGAACACCGGTCTTTGGGGGCAGAAATCGAAGGAAACCGCTACGGCAGGAAAGCCTATGGTGGGAAGGTCCGGTTCAATTCGGGGTGGCGTGCATGAAAACAACTATAACATATATATATATATATTTTTTTTTTTTTTGCCGAAGGCGGTTGCCTGTGACAGATCTCGAATTACGAATTAGATTGCAGGGTTCAACACCGTGTCTCTGCAACAATCCGGTCCCATTACCGCCTCCTCATTGAAATCAGCAACCAAATTCTGAACTGAGGAAACAAACCAAAGCGGCAACTCCTGTTCCGGACCCGAATCATCACAGCGTGACATGAATAGAGTAGCAAACGCTCTGCATAATCCATCTGGATATTCTTTCAGAGCTGTCGTTTGCCATTTCCCATCTACACCTCTACCAATACGGCCGCCCCTCGGCATAGCCGAAGTTCGGGAAAGGAAAAAGTGTCTCTCGACCTCTTCATACGTTCCACAGTTCGCAATCAGGAGGTCAGTCGCTTTAGGAGAGAGGCCCCCAAATAGACCTTGGAAAATCCTAAGCTTCACACAGCCCGGAAATCTCAGTAGACAGCCAATGACTTCCAGATACCAAATCGACGGCAAGGACATGTCATCATCTGGACAGGCAGGATGTTCCAAGATCGCAAGTGCTCCAGTTATTAGGGCAATCAGGAAAAATCGAAGCGTAACTCCAAGTAACTGATTCCCAATGGAGACCTGCTCAGTCTCACGACGTGTCAGGAAAGTGCAACCCTGTAGCCTGTCTCGGCTGCGCAGTACACGTGGTCCCTCCATATTGGCAGCCCGTGCACGAGACCAAGTCTCACAAGGCGGCCCAGAAAGAAAGCCCGTTAGAACGCGTTCATGCATAGCCCTTGAGAAAAGGTCAAACGTGGTGGGCTGCAGGAGATTCCCCCATGTCAAGTCAAAAATTATGTCAACAGAAATGGCCATCGCATGCAAAGCTTCGACATGTTGCTGAAAGTCGCCTTTTCGGCGAGCTCCAGAGAACAAGTGAGCAAAAACCTTAGGAGAATACCTCACCGCTCTCGGGATCGGCACATGGAGCTCATGCATAAGCCCAGCCTCACGCTGAAAGAATTCATGAATAGTCTCGTCCGCAGCAACGGCAGTATCCACACCCGAGAGAAGCCATTCAGCTTCAGCCATTCGTCGGAATTGGCCAAAAATAGCAAGTGTTGACAGGGTAGTTGACTCACCCTGCTGTGCAACCCACACATCGAATGCATCATGGATCTCTTCCAGGTACAGAAAGGTTGTCGTTGTGACTAGTCGCAATCGCTCCAGAAGAGGCGTAGTAACCTCTTCTGATCGCAAGGCAGCAGTCCATTCGGCTTGGAGTCTCAAGACTTCAGTTGTCATTGCAGGAACATGACCCTGTGGTTCCTGGCATCTGGGTCCTGCAGCTTGCATGTGGGGGTGTCGTAGCAATGACTTCCGTCGGGTCTCTGCCCTGCTGTTGACAGCAGGTTCACACCTCACAATGAGTCCCCGATTCTGGTAGAAATCAAAGCAAGGACCTCCTCGCTTCACATGGTTAATGAGGTCAGAGTGTAGTTCATAGTGTTTCAGGCATCGTTCACATTGTTGCCCAGTCACATAGGCTCTGGCTTTGTTCACCCGCCCATGCTTTTTAAAGGCATGAACGGCCATATTCGCCTTTGTAGCAAAGGTCTTCTTGCAGCAAAGACAACAGAAAATCGTATTGTATTGGATCTTCGGACAAGGTGAGACAATCTGGTGCTCTAGGAGCCGATCTCGGATGTCTTGATGCCATAACATCCATTCGACATCGAGCTTCTGGACAGCAATGGCCCGAGCCTGAAGCTTGCGAATGGTTCTCTTCCATCTCATAGGGCTGGCCGTCACATAGTCAAACAACTGCAGCCAGTTCTGCTGGAGTGGAAAAAATTCACCAACTTCAGGACAGTAGCGCCAAAGGCACCTCATATCTTCAACGAGCTGTGCATGCCATGTGCGGTCTCTCTGCAAGAGTGCCCATAAGATCGGTTGCCCGGCAACGATCAACTGTCCCAAGTATCGGAGGCGTGCAACAAGCATAACGATGGCAGCCTCAGGAAGACCCAGCTTGTACAGAAGCCATTTTCGGCTCCAAGTCATAGCTGGCACTCCAAAATGTAGAACCGCAAATCGCTGGTACAGTCGATGGAAGGCTGAGTCCAACTGACCTCCTTGTTTCTTGTTGCGTGGGACCCAGACTGCCGCATTGTACGAAATGACACTGAGCACCAAGCTGTCAAAAAACTGCCTTTTCCGTACCAAGGTCATAGCTCGATTGGCAAAAATCTGTGAACGATATTTGGTCATTGCATCATGCGCAGTTGCAAACTTTACTTTGAGCTCCCTGGCAATCCCACCTCCAACTTGGATCCAGGTCCCCAAATGGCGGTAGGCGCCCACGACAGAAATACTGAAGGGGTCAACTGTGGAAGGAATCGTAAGCTTATGATCTTGGAAGGCCAGCTGTCTCCTGCATTGCAGAGCACCCTTCCCGCGAAGGTCCATCAAGATCTCACTCTTCCCTGGCTTGAGGTTAGGGCGAAGCCCCGCATTCTGCAGGCTGTCAAAAAGACAGGCAACAATGGATTCACATTTGTCCAGCAGCTCAGTCGGGCTCTGCGAGTCAAAGGCCAACGCGAGGTCATCAGCCCAGATCGGCATGACTGGATCCAGCAACACAGAAAGTTCACCTCCAGGGAAGGGGGTGGCAGCCCCGTTCCAGGCAACACGCACATCTGGGAATTCATTGGAGATTAACTCAATGGCAGGCCGGATAATCTTCACCAGAGCAAAGCTAAAGCAAAGGTCTGCAAAAGAATCACCCGGCCGACTGCCACGCCGAGTTTGGACCAACTGGGCATCATCACGCAGTTTAAACCACGTCGACTCAAAGAACTCACCAAAAATCGCCTGTAAGTGTGGCGACACGCCCGCTTCTTCAATCGCAGCCGGTCGCTCGAGGAGAGCACAGAATTCCTCGTAGCTTCCTTGAGGCAGACCAAGTTTCTCAAAGAGCTGCTGTAGTGACCGATGCTCACCTTGAACTTGCACTATGTGTTGTCGAAGGAGGCGATAAAATGCATTGGATATATCGACAAACACAATTGCACTGGATCTGCCTTCTCGAATCGCATGCAGCTGGTGGAGTCGCAGCGCATGTGCAGGCTGAGTCGTGCCCTGACCTGGAATGCCTCCCACCTGCAGCTGCATACGTTGGCTCTCAAATGAATGGACCAAGTCTTTGCGGTAGATTGAATGTAGGGCTTTACCCAAAACACTACTAACAAAAAGTGATCTGTAATTCTGGATCAATTTGGGACTGCCCTTTTTAAACACAGGGGTGAGAAACCCTCCTTTGAAGATCACCGGTTCCCGCATAAAAGCAATCTGCTTACAGAAAAGCGAGTAAAAAGTGTGGGCCAACACAGCCGGTGCTTTGTGGAGGAGCTCACCAGGAATTCCGTCCAGGAAAAACGATTTCCCTGGCTTGGCTCGTCTAAACTGATGCTCGATTTGGTTCAGTGTCGGCAGAAAGTCCCATGGTGGGACAACAGTTTCCTGCGCCCATCGGCAATCTGATTGCGAAAGTAGAGCTTCTGCTGACGTATCAATGCCGTCTTCTTGCTCACCAAAGTACTCTCGCCAACATACAAGGAGCTCTTCATATGTGTCCACAGGTTGTCCTGCAGCATTCTGGATAAACGGTAAAGGTTGGATGCAACTAGGCTTTTTGGCGTTTCGGACCCCCAAAGCTTGCAGCGCTTGCGCAAACTCACGCTGGGACATCTGCGGCTCAGCTTTTGCTAGTTGCTCCAATGACTCAGTCCTATCAGCACGTAATTTCCTCTTCAACGTCTTGGTTGTCTCAGCAGATTGCTGTCGTGTTTGCTGTATACTCTTATACAGACGCAGACCTTGAAGAAAGAGTTCACGCAGATCAAGGACTCTCGTTCCTTTCCAGCAGTCCAGGGCCCAGCTCAGGCTGAGACAGTCCACCATATGCTTCTGCTTGATCGCCTCCCGACGCAGGCGCAATCTCATGGAACGAATTTGCCAAGCCGCTTCAGAGATATACGACTTTCGTGGCCCTTTTTTGGGAGGAAATTCCTGACATAGTCGGTCATGGATCTGTCGCACCAATTTCATTGCATGCTGATCAATGCCTTCATGCCAAGCAGGGATCTGTACATCCCGAAGGACACCCTGGATCTGCTCCTTTGTCGCCTCTTGCAAAGAGCGGCGGTCAAAACCCTCCTTGCTCCGCACACGAACAGAAGTGCAGAACAGGATCTTGCAGTGCATTGTCAAAGGTAGGTGGTCAATGCCAGCTTTCCCTTCGTCAAGCGATGTCTTTACTTCAGTTTGGAAAAAAGATGTACTCCATGACTTTGGCACAGCAAAATAGTCACAGCGAGCCCCTTTATGAGCCGAGAAGCTCCACCAGGTCTGGTGACTGCCTCTGTGAATGTGCTCAAAAGTACTGGGTATGAACAAGTCAAAATCGAGCAGGAAGCGTCGGAAACAATCACCCCCATGATCAGTAGCATGCTCAAGCCCCGCATAGCCAATATGGCCATCGAGCTCCGTCGCAAAATGGGCATTCGCATCGGCTCCCACGATCAGATTCGGGAACTTCTGAACATAGGGCCTAACCAGCGAGGTCAAGGACTGCCAAAAGAGTTCAATGTCATGTCTTCCTCTTCCACTATGTGGAGCGTGGAAGGTGAGCAGGAGGAGGGTCACTCCCTGGAGTGTGGTCTTCAGAAGAAGACACTGTGCAGCAGCATGCAAGACTTGCGTCGTGGCTTTGTCAAATGCTGCATGTC